GTTAGCCGAGTTCTTCGAATGCTACGTCAAGCTGCTCGAGCTCAACGTGTGGAACAAGACAACGGTGACCAACTCCTCGTGGAGTGACCAGTCCAAGCAATGGACGGTGGAGCTGCAACGACGGAAAGAGGACGGCTCAACGGAGACGGTCACCGTCAAGCCGCACCACATCGTCCAAGCGACGGGCCACTCGGGGAAGAAGAACATCCCCGAATTCAAAGGCGCCTCGACATTCCAGGGCACCATCTGCCACAGCGCCGATTTCAAGGGTGCGGACGCGCAATCCCGCGGCAAGAAGGCCGTGGTGGTGGGATCGTGCAACTCGGGGCACGACATCGCGCAGGACTACTTCGAGAAAGGGTACGAGGTGACGATGGTGCAGCGCAGCTCGACCTGCGTGGTCTCGTCGGCGGCTATAACGGGGATTGCCCTGAAGGGCCTATACGAAGAGGCGGGGCCGCCAACCGAAGACGCCGATCTGTGGTTATGGAGCATGCCGTCCGAGCTGTTCAAGAGGCAGCAGCAGAATATCACGGACCTCTGCAACGAGCACGACAAAGCGACGCTGGACGGGCTAGACCGGGCCGGCTTCAAGGTGGACCGCGGGCCCGACGACGCCGGCCTGTTCCTGAAGTACTTCCAGCGCGGCGGCGGCTACTACATCGACGTCGGGGCCAGCCAGCTCATCGCGGACGGCAAGATCAAGGTGAAACACGGACAAGAGATCGCCGAGATCCGCCCGCACGGGATCCAGTTCGCCGACGGCTCCGAGCTCGAGGCCGACGAGATCGTGCTGGCCACCGGGTATCAGAACATGCGCACACAGGCGCGCCTGCTCTTCGGGGACGAGCTGGCCGATCGCGTCGGCAACGTGTGGGGATTCGACACGGAGGGCGAGTTCCGTACCATTTGGCGTCGTAGCGGACATCCGGGCTTCTGGTTCATGGGCGCCAATCTGGCGCTGTGCCGGTATTATTCGCGGTTGTTGGCACTGCAGATCAAGGCGACCGAATTGGGATTATATAATTAGTGACAGCTAACTAACTAGTTAGCTATCAAAGTCAATTCATGAGGGACAAAGAGCACTCACCTTAGCGAATACTTGGTCCACAAATTAAAACCATTACGAAATTCATACTTCTTACTCCCCTGTATCTGCCTCCCCTCCAACACCAAAATCAAAACCAGGTTAAAAAAGACCTAATGACAGATGATAGCCCATAACAGCCATACCTTCCATATGCAGTGAAGCTTGCGAGCTTGACAAGTCAAAATCTGGAACTCCACTGTACCCAAACAACGTCAAACTCAATCCAAACAAGCACACTCAGGATTCAGGAACAACTAACAAGAGAAAAAAAGGAACCAGATGATCGACACCAAACCATACTTATCCTAGTCTCCCGTGCCCCATTGATTCCTTTTGGGGCTAAAAATAAATAAAACAAAAAAAGACACCAAATCAAAGCAACATCTGAGCAAACAAGAGAATGATCGTTGATCCTTTTTCTTCTTCTGTTTATTCTATGAATATCCGATCCCGATATTTTGTACTGTAGATGGACACCACAAAAAGAAATGGGGCAAGAATAACAAATCAAATGGTATATCCAAAACCAACAACCAGTGTAAGGAGAAAAACAAAAACAAAAAGATAAAAACGCCAAACACCCAGCTAGCTAAATACATCCTTTTTCTAAACAAAGAAACATAACGAAGGGATCCTCCCGCCTCAACCAGAGACCCTAAGCCCTAGCGAACTAGTCTAGCCCCTAACAAGGACACCGTCACCATCACCACCAAGCCCGCGGAGTAAGCCTAGTACGTATCGGTATAGTAAAAGATACGAACTAGGCACGGAGCTCGGAGGACCCGGAACTAAGCACCAAAGAAGCACACTAACTCGCCCAGCCCTCCGAACGCGCCACATACACCCCCAAGGCCAAAAAGCACGTATACAGCACCTGCTCGTCCTGCACGCCAAGCCGCTCGGTCAGGAACGCCCGTTGTCCCCGATCCCACCCGCCCACCATGAACCCCTTTTTGGTGAGGGTTGCGAGCCACGGCCGCCGGAGGTGCGGCTGGTCCGCGATCGTCAGCACGAACCGGTCGGGCTTGTTGTTTCCGCTGCTGCCGGCGTTGGCGTTGGCGTCGGTGGTCTCGTCGGAGGAGGTGCGCGCCCGTCGTTCCCAGTCTAGTGCGATGTTGAGAGGCTCTTGCGGGCATTGTCCACCTTCTTGGCCCCTGGAGGGCGGAGGGGCGGCGTCGGATGCTGCGGCGGTTCCGTCCCCGACGGACTGCTGGCTGGCTGGTCGTGGGGCCGAGCCTCGCTTCAGCTGAAATCGGTACCCGCGAGGAGTCTGCGTGGCTTCCCATTTCAGGTTGCCGGCGGGGATGTAGACGCCTGCGCCGGAGGTGCGTTTCGGGTCCGCGTAGATGGCGCCGACGAAGTCGTGGGTGGGAGGTGCTCCTTCTGTTGCGTTTGCGCTATCCGATCCAGGTATATGCGAGTAGGATTCGCTCTGCGTGAGGAACATGTCGCGGGCGTGTAGCTTGGGTTGGCCGTTGGGGACGGACTTGCCGAGCCGGGAGGGCTGGTAGATTTCAAGAACGGGAATGATGCGCGACGAGGGGGTGAGTTGTTGAATTTGGAGGAGGAGACGGGGGGAGAGACGCAGACATTGCGAGGCTTTGGGAGGAGGATGGGCGAGAGGAAAGGTTTGCGCTTTTGATGTCGATGTTGTTGCTGGGGCTGTTGTGGAGGAAGCTGTTGAGTTGGAGGAAGGTCTGAGTTGAGGTAGAGAGTTAGTTTTGCGCTACATCGAGAGTATGAACAGCCCTATAGGTGGGCATCTAACTCACCTGGTCGACCCGGCTTTAGATGAGTCGCTCATGGTGCGAAGGATGTGTTGAGATGACTTGTTTGGATATGATGGTTTGGACTGGGTTGGAGGATGGCGAGAGAAGATAGAAGTGCAGAATAAGAAGTATGTAAGAAGAAAGCCAGGTCATATACTAATCATATAAGCACTTGCCCACCGCAGGGCTGAACCTCACACTGTCCACTCCAATCCGCCAACATCGTATTCGTATGATAATGCGCGGTGATTCGCCGAACAATTCTTGTCTGCCTGACGGGGCATTCAAGCTTATTCTTCTTGGCTGCTCCACCATTGTACCAAGGAAGGCTAAGAAGGGTTCTGCCAACGCCCTACCTATGCGGTAGCCGGATACGATGAACGACAAATTGGTTCTAGTGTGAAAAAACTTTTTGGGCCGCCGATAATTTGGCTGCGACTGCTGCGAAGCTGCAGTTCTTGGACAAATGTCTTTATTCCGTTGTCCGTTATCCATCCAGAGATGCATTAATATTTAATGTGGTGCAACGAACGGGTCGTTTGTCTTGGCTCATTTAGTTTCTGAGACCGGCGCAAACTGCCCCCGTACCCTTTACCCCGTTTGGCAGTGAGGAATACGGGAGATTTGTTGTCCGTCCCTCTGGTCTGTCAACCTTGCAGCCGACACAGCCACCGATCGACATCGTAGATTTATTTTTATGCAACGATTGGTGTGTCCGTACCTGGCTCCGAAGCCATCCTCAGTTTCAGAGTGATTCGTTTTCGCATCCGTATCGAGTATAGTGGTCCGTGGAAAGGAGGTCCTGGAAATCCCTTTTTAGTCCTGCGGGGCATCGCTGGGTCGTCTGTCTCATGTGTCAATCTGGCAATTAGTACGGATACGTTAAGAAGCTAGAGCAGGAGATCATCTGGAATCACAAGAATCGAGTTTGCCTGATCGTATTCTTATTTGCGGCCTTGCTCTTGGTATCGATAACATTTGCAAGGAAGGCATTTTCGTAGTCCGCGTTGGCATCTTGGGATTTGTCTCGTATTGCCAGGATACGAGTAAGACCCCCTGAGGAACGGACGATTGTGAAGTGGTCTGCTTTGTTGGTGCCTGTCATATGCATTGGGGGTAATTGAACGAGAACGAGGCTAGCTGAGGAGAAACTTTATATCGAGCGGTCACAGACCTCGCTAAAGTAGCTAGGATGGTATGCAATATGGATAACTCAGTAAATTGAAAATGCGATCGATGATTCTAGACTTCTTGTCGGAAGAGATGGTGAAGAGGTGGATGACAACTGACAAGTCTCCGGAGTCGACCGAAGCGGAAGGCACAGATTTGTTTGGCATGTTTGTCTACCACTCTGTCTAGTATATGATCTCTATACCAAGGTAGAATTTACATTTAATCAACTCATAAAACTAGGTATCCTTGTGTCCAGTATTCATATGGATCCAGAGAGTGGCTGCCACCGGCCAATCTAATATTTCTCAAATCTCCCTACATCTCCATTGACCCCTATATTGTCCATATACTAACGGTGTATAGTACCGAACATCGCTCTTCAACCCTCAGACGAGAACTGACTGGCACTAGTCTCAATCCAGAATCCAGAAGAGCCCAGAACTATCCATTCGGAGTGAATAACCTCCCAGTCTTTAAGCTTAACCTTAAGGCTGATACCACCCGCAGCGATAGAATCCCAGGGACCAATGAGAACGTTCCCTCAACCTGGATGCTTCAACAATCTCGAAAATCCACTTGCAGAGGTCGTCCAATCGTTACGTCTGGAGTAAGTCTGGGATGCGACGGAGGAGACGCGTGGTAGTTTATTCTATTGTTTTCGCTGGGCTATTGTGTCTCTGAATAGAAAAGAGTGAATTGATCCCGGCCATAGATGGGTTGACCCCCGAGTCTCTTGGGAAGACTCTGTGTGCATAGTCTATAGGGGGTAGTGCTGAGACCCATGATGACTAGATGAAGACTATCTGGTGTCCCTTCTAGCTTGCTTCGCACCTTCAGAACGTAGGAAGCATTCTACATCCCCATCTTATACGATCTACATCAACCTCAACCCATACCTATTCCGCAAATGATGCAACCAAATTAAATTAAACTATACAATACAACACCCAGCACCGCTTCCAAACCCACTACGCAAGAACCGGCCATCCCATACCCGCAACAACGCCCACAATACCCCCAACAAGCGGAAACAGGCTCCTCACCCCATTCAACACAACCCATCTCTCCAAACCCCCCAGGACCTTTTTCTTCTCATCCTCCTTCTCAACCACAACCCCAGCATCCGCCATCTCCAACAACTCCCTATTCGTGCCCGTCATAGCGACCACCGTCCACGGCACAATCCCAATCGTCAGCACCGCCGACGCCACATACAAGATGGCGCTCTCGCGCGTCGTCAACGCAGACACCGAGACGCCGTTATGCACTGCATACGCGAGGTACCCGAACGCAGAGGCCGTGAGGACCGCGATGGGCGGGTTCTGGGCGTGGCCGTTGTCGTAGAGGTTGCGGTATTGGCGCAGGATGATGTTTAGAGGCGTGCCGTCTTCGCGGTGGGATTTGAGGAGAGCGGGGATGGCGTTTACACTTAGAGCGGAGATGTTTCCTGGGAGTGTCAGTTCAGTTCAGTTTGTGTATGTATGGGTATGAGGGATGTTGGTAAGAGCATGCGGGCATCAATCACTTACCAGCTAACCAGGCAGAGCCAGTCAAGCCGACAACCTGGGCGACGCGAACTCCTGGGGGATATGAGCTCATTTTGTATATTCTTGTGTGTATGATGGATTAAATGCGGAAATGGTTTAAGAAGATAAGAAACAAGAAAAGAAGGTAGAAACCGGGGGCTGACGAGGCTATATACCACCCCCAAATATCATGACGTCATAGCAGTGTTACCTCTTCCCTGGGAGACGATCAGACCATGCGCTGTCGATCGGGGGAACCGGAATGGGAGAAGCCTAATCTGGGTATTTTGAGCCGTTCTAGATTGTTAGTGTATTATTATCGTCCGCTGGTGAGCAGGAATTGCCAGACTGGATGGCCGGTTGCAGGCGGCGGGTTTTGTCGGATTTTGAGTCGGCTTTTGCGGGGGCCGAATTGTGGAGGAGCATCGGTCGGTCGCTCGGGGTGTCAGTGCAGGTCTAGATTTCTTATATTTCTTCTTTTCCCTCTTTCGTTCTTTCTTTTTCTCTTTTTCTGCTTCATTTCCAATGCTCTATAAAAGCCACTCCATCCCATCGGAAACTCTGATTCCCATATCGCGATCAGTGTTCTACTGCCCGTGGCCCAATTGTAGGTATACTTGGCAAACCAAGCTCGACCTACATGTTGTGCAGTCCTCGCCTTGCTCCCACAATTTCAGGCCATATACTGTCATCTAAGGCCGGGCATGTATAAGATCATGATCATCGACATTTACCTTGGTTTAGTTAATCAAAATGACTAATAAAAATCTGTCAAATGCATGGATTATAAATTAAGAAGACGAATTCGCCAATCAGCGCACCGCATGAGGATTTGCCATACAGGCTCCAAATCACACACTACGAGGTTGGAAATCGACTAATTGCGATAGACAGACTCTCGCTCGATCGCGCTGCTCTGCCAATAATTTTAAAAATGCCGATGACCGCTACTGCAGAGTCCTTGCGCTCATTCGATCTTACCCAAAACCCAACATGACTACAACGGCGCTCGTCCCCATCAACCTTCACGATCGGAATCAATTTGCAGAGCTACTCGCTCAACGCATTCAATGTGGTTGGGACAATGACCCCACGCATCTCCTGAACTGGCGCAGTAAGATCGATCAACGACTGAAATCGCTCTTCTGGATTACCATCACGGTACCACAGGACGGGATCTCCGACCCCGGGTCCAGCGACGGTGACAGCGACAGCGAGCAAGAAATCCGAGCAGGGCACATATCTCTCGACTCTTATTCGGATCTGGACGACCCGCTCCTAGCCAATTCTGATCGATCCGCCCTCATCGTTCAGAATCTTTTCATCAAGCCCGAATACCAACGTCTCGGACTAGGTCACAAAGCGATGGATTTGCTGGAGGCATTGGCGTTGACGGAGCCCTACGGTAGCCCCAATTGCAAGCATGTCACGTTGTCGGCGCTGAGCAAGCGACACTTCAAGGAGAAAGGTCCTTTGTGGGACGCGGCGAGGGAGATCTTGCCGCCTGGGTATTTGGATTTCTGTGTTCCAGAATGGTATGAGAGGCGGGGGTATGTGTTGTGGAAGTCGATGTGGAGGAAATATCAGCCAGCTGGGGAAAAGAGAGATTTGAAGCTGATGGTGGATTTGATGAGAAAGGGGGTGTAGTACGGACCATGTGTTTGAGCTGTGATGAGTTGAGGCACTGTGTATGTCAGGTTTCATGCGTGTGTACTTGGAACAAAGCTTCATGCGCTGGGCATAGCAATAGAAGGCGCATTTTGGATTGATTTTGATCACCTTGGATATGGCAACACGATCTAGATCCATATGATCGGGATGACAACTTCAGATGCCTCGAGGCCGTTAGCTTGGTTTCAACTCCATTTCAAAGCCGAACAAACGGATTGTTCATAATTAGTATGGCAGATTCAATCCCACAAAGAGTCCTTGGATCGAGAATAAAGGATGACAAATTCTCAAGAGGTCTTGACAGGTATTCGTGGATTTTCCAAACATAAAAGAGACTGCAGTGGAAAACCTCCGTTGGAACACCGCAGGACATGACATGCATGCTTCGTCTGGATCATGGCGGCGACCTGCAGATTAATCAAACATCCAGGGATTATCCCGCCAGGAATCAAACAATTGAGCGACTTTGAGCAAATGGGACGCTTCAGCGACAAAGTCAATGTGTCTTAATCAGTGCTAATTCGTTAATTGAAAGGGAAACAAAAACCAGGCTCCCCTCGGTGGTCTGGCATGATTTTGTTGCAATAGATTAAACCAACTCGTTATCGTCGTGACAATTCACGTCAATCACGGCAGAAGTCTTGGGTTACAGCACTAACCAGAAAGACCGCCAATAGCCTCGTGCGACCTGCGACGGGTATCACCGGCGAGGAAATGACCTGCTTGGCGTTTGAGCAAAAAGGCAGGAGGGATCTGGGAGCTAAACCTTGAACGCACTAATGCAGGAGACGTGATGCTGATAAGGGCTCCCTAGTTGCAGTATGCGGGGAAATCCTTCGCCTGTTTACTTAACCAGCGCATTCCCCCTCTTCAAGGGGGGAACTGACCGACAGGTCGACAAACACAAGCCAGTCTGACGCCGTCATTATGAAGGTAAGCACTCAATTGCTGTTGCCTGGTCTCTCTCTACCTCTCTTGTTGCAATGACTGAATAATTTGCCTCAGTCCGTTGCTCTGTTGCTGCTCCTGGCTGGCCTCACGCAGGCCATCGAGGTGCCGCGAAAACCGTACGCGCCCACTGGCGGCGGCAATAAGCGATTGACTTTCAATGAGACCGTGGTGAGCCGAGCAATTTCTCCCTCATCCATCTCGGTGGAATGGATCGCGACCGCCCAGGATGGAGAGTACGTCTACCAGGACGCCGACAGGAGTCTCAAGATTGAGAATATTGTCACCAACAAAACCACGACTCTCGTCCCGGCCGACAAGGTGCCTGCCGATGCGTATACCTACTGGATCAAGCCGGACTTGTCGTCGGTGCTCTGGGCCACCAATTATACCAAGCAGTACCGGCACTCGTTCTTTGCGGACTACTACATCCAGGATGTTGAGTCTTTGGAATCGAGCCCCTTGGTTTCTAATCAGGTGGGTGACATCCAGTACGCGCAATGGAGCCCGGTCGGAAATACCATTGCCTTCGTTCGTGACAACAACTTGTTCACTTGGATCAATGGCACGACCACGGCAATCACCGAGGATGGGGGACCAGACCTTTTCCATGGCGTCCCCGACTGGATTTATGAAGAGGAGATTCTGGGAGATCGATTCTCCCTATGGTTCTCGCCGGATGGAGAGTACCTGGCCTATTTGAGCTTCAATGAGACCGGCGTACCGACATTCACAGTACCTTATTATATGGATAATCAGGAGATCGCCCCGCCGTATCCTCGAGAGCTGGACATCCGCTACCCCAAGGTGTCACAAACCAACCCGACTGTCCAGCTCGGCCTCTTGGAGTTGGGCTCTAAAGATTCGTCCGTCGTGCCAATTGATGCGTTTGATCCTAGTGAGTTGATCATTGGCGAAGTGGCCTGGCTCACCGACTCGCACGACACGTTGGCTGTGAAAGCCTTCAACCGTGTCCAGGACGAGCAGAAGGTGGTCGCTGTGGATGTTGCGTCGAGTCGTACCTCGGTGATCAACGAGCGAGACGGTACGGATGGTTGGCTCGACAATCTTCTGTCCATAACATATCTCGGCCCCATCAACGGGAGAAACTCGTCGTCGTCATACTATATCGACATTTCCGATAAGTCCGGTTGGGCACATTTGTGGCTTTTCCCCCTATCGGGCGGCGAGCCCATTGCCTTGACCAAGGGAGAGTGGGAGGTTACATCGATCCTGAGTATTGACAAGAAACGGCAGTTGGTCTACTACTTGTCGACACGGCGCCACAGTACGGAGCGTCATCTGTACTCGGTCTCCTACCGTACCTTCAAAGTCACTCCACTAGTTGATGACACCGTGCCTGCGTACTGGGGCGCTTCTTTCTCGTCCAAGTCAGGTTATTATATTTTGTCATATTCGGGCCCTGATGTGCCATACCAGGAGCTCTACTCCACCAACCAGACCAACCCTCTGCGTACCATTACCAGCAATTCGGCTGTGATTGATTTGATCAAGGATTATGCACTGCCGAACATTAGCTACTTCGAGCTGGAGATCCCCTCGGGAGAGAAGCTCAACGTTATGCAGCGTCTGCCAGTCAACTTCTCTCCTCATAAGAAATATCCTATCCTTTTTACCCCTTATGGCGGTCCCGGAGCGCAGGAAGTGTCTAAGTCATGGCAATCCGTTGGCTTCAATGCATACATCGCCTCCGACCCGGAGCTCGAATACGTGACCTGGACGGTTGACAACCGAGGAACTGGATACAAAGGTCGCAAGTTCCGCTCTAGCGTCACCCGTCAACTAGGGCTTCTTGAAGCCGAAGACCAGGTCTATGCCGCTAAACAGGCAGCCAAGCTTCCCTTCATCGATGGAGACCACGTCGGCATCTGGGGATGGAGTTACGGCGGGTACCTTTCCAGTAAGGTCCTCGAGACCAACAGCGGCGCCTTTTCTCTCGGTCTCATCACGGCTCCGGTGTCCGATTGGCGTTTCTATGACTCCATGTACACCGAGCGGTACATGAAGACGCTCGCCACCAATGCCGGCGGGTACAACACCAGCGCCGTCCACAACGCCGATGGGTTCAAGAGTGTCAGTGGAGGATTCCTCGTCCAGCACGGCACGGGAGACGACAATGTGCATTTCCAAAATTCTGCTGCGTTACTGGACCTTCTGGTAGGTCAGGGCGTGACGCCCGATAAATTGCAGGCGCAATGGTTCACCGACTCTGACCACGGCATCCGGTACCATGGGGGTAGTTTGTTCTTGTATCGGCAGTTGTCAAAGAAGCTGTTCGAGGAGAAGAACCGACCCGGAAAAGTGTTGAAGCACCAGTGGAGCCGGAAAAACGTGTAAATAAATCATGTAGTATTTATAGCCCATTCAATCGCAAATGAAGCCCATTGTTGGTACGAAAGGAAGCCATTGTAAGTTCTTAGGGTTGGCTGTCTGATTTTCGAGTAAAAGGCTGAACGGGGAGTTTTTTGATGAAAGTGACATTTTTGGGGTTGATGGCAATGAAAGGAAGACGAAGCAAAAAAGAAGCTTCCTGATAGAAACATTGAGCAGGTGACATACTGAAGCCTCAGGCACTGAGCGGTAAAAGGCTCTAATCAAGTTTGGGGAATGCTCAATGTGGCGCAGTAGACTAGCTCAATTCGGATGATGACTCACTGTGGCTGAAAGGTGCCTGATCCAGAAGGCCACAAGTGTGGCAGATACATAACAGCAACCACCATAGCCTGTTTGTCCACCTACAATATACTATGATGCTCTCAGCTGAAGATAAAATATCTTCTTTATCTTTTCAACAATGAATCAACACTGCGGACCACACTGGTGAGAATCGTCTAGTTATCAGCTGCAATGACGTAAATCAACACCAAGTGGAGTCCATCCAGAGCTATCACAGGTGGATATGCGATCGCCTAACGAGCACCTAGCAACAGGGCAACAGAGTTTGTCTATGGTTTCCTGGTGGCAACATCCATCGAATCAACACTATTAGGCCACTAACACAGTACACAGCCCTGTTGTACAAAGATGCTCAGCAGCCTAGGTGGCGGTGCTGGGACCCCCGCATTTGCTCACGGCCCCAGCTTATAAGTAGCCAGCTCGATCCCCTTTCTTCTGCTTCCAAACATCTTTTCTACTGAAAGAAACATCCATCATGGCGACAGTTTCTACGAAAGAAGTTTCGGTTGCCGATATCCCCACCAAATTGGTCACTTTCACCGGTGATCAAGCCACCGTTGTTCGGGAGATTTTCACCACGGTCCAGGTATGTCTCTTTCTTTTACTGGTGAATAGTCCAAGCACACATTGATGCTAATCTTACCCAGCCGGGTCAAAATGAAGTTACCATCTACGGCCTAGATCCGAAAATCGACGTCGACTCGATCCGTATCGAAGGAAGCGGCCCCGCGACCATAACAGACATCCAGACACAAATCATCCCCCGACGAGAGAACTTCACGGATGTGTTCCCCGAGGATTCCGACACCGACGACGGCGGCGATGAGGATCCAGATGACATAGACTACGGGTTTGACGACTCGGAGTTACTGGCAACTCGAGAGCAGATTACTGGTATCCAAGCGAAGAAGTCGAAGGCCGCCGATAATTTGGCTGCGACTGCTGCGAAGCTGCAGTTCTTGGACAAATACGGCAAATCCATGAGTCCCGAGACGACGGATCTTTTCAAGGTCAATGACTTTCTACAACTGTATACGCGTCAGCGCTCCGAAGCGGCCGATACGAGTCACGCGGCTGAGGTGGAGCTTCGCGAGGTAGAGAACGAGCTGGAGAAGCTTGAAACAAAGAAACAGCAGCTCGAATCGAAACAGCAGAAGGCGAAAAAGGCGGCACTGAAGGATTTCTATCGTGCGCGGGAGGAGCAGCAGCGAGCGCGCAGGCAGAAGCGACAACAGCGAGAGCGAGAAAGGCTTGAGCGACGCAAATTCTGGACCAACAATGTCGGCCACGTGCGCGTGTCTCTAGACAGCAATTCAGGTCCTACGCCTGGATCGAGCCGGCGAAACTCGGTCGTTGACGAAGACTCGACTGGGGAACATGCCAAGCCCGAAGCTGATGTGACGATCCTCCTGACCTATGTGTTGCCTGGGAGTCATTGGGCGGCGCGATATGAAATGAATATCAATACGCCTTCATCAACGGCTCAGATGACCTGTCTCGCGGAATTCCGGAATTCCAGTTCCGAAACCTGGCGCGATACTCAAGTGGCACTGTCAACCTCGAAAGCGTCCTTCTCTGGTCTCCACGAGCGTGTCCCTTCCCTAGAAGCTTGGCACATCCAGCTAGATCCGGACAACGCCAGTAATAAGCCATCATGGCATAAAATCCTGAAGGGTGGAGGCGAAGCTGGCGAGAAACCTGGGCCGAGTGCAGCGCGAAAAAAGGAACACGAGTTCCAGCTGATGTTGCTTGAACAGCAAAATAAGAGGAGACTGATGATGGCAAGGCAAGAGCAACAACAGAACGCACTCCAAGCACCTCAACAAGCAGCGCCGGGAGGTCTTTTCGGATCAGCCTCAGGCCCAGCAGTCGGATCTCGCGCTAGTAACCCATTTGGATCACCGCAACCGGTACCAGAATCGCAGCCAGGCTCAGGCCTGTTTGGTGGCGCAAGATCCCTTTTCGGAGGGTCCTCAAATGCTGCCACTACCGCCCAAATGCAGGCCCAACAGGCCCGACAGGCCCAAATGCAAGCCCAACAGGCCCAAATGCAAGCCCAACAGGCCCAAATGCAAGCCCAGCAGGGCCAGATGCAAGCCCAGCAGGCCCAACAGTCCCCTACCATGCTATTTTCGGCCATGCCACCACCCATGGCCATGGCAGATACCGGCAATGTCGATTATGAGGAAGATTATGAGGAAGAGTTGGGGGGTGAAGAAGACGATGAAGAGGATGAAGAAGACGAGACCGCGTTGTCTCCCGAAAACTTGGACCACCAGGACTCCGTCACGCAACAATACGGACTTACCACGACCCATGAGCTTCCCGGTCGTCGCACCGTGATTCCCTCAAGTGTCAGCCGACGTCATATCCTCGCCGAATTAGACCTGGAGTCCATGTCCCTTTCATACCTCATCGTGCCAAAGCATCGCACCGCCGCCTTTCTCCGCGCGCGCATCCAGAACACCTCTTCTGCGCACATGCTGCGCGGTAAGGTGGGTTTGTCCGTGGACGGAACATTCCTAGGCGCGATTTCCATGCCCAGCACCCCGCCCAATGAGTTCTTCAGTCTCTCGCTGGGTAGTGACCCAGCCATTCTGGTGAAGTACTCCAAACCCACCGTGCGGCCTGCGTCGGGCTCTTTCTTCGTGAAGGAAGAAGCGGCGGTGTTCCGGCGTAGCTGCTGGATCAAGAACACCAGGGACACGGCCGTGGACGTCAACGTGATGGATCAGGTGCCGCTGAGCGAGCACGACAAGTTGCGCGTGCACATCCTCGAGCCAGCGGGTCTCGCCGAGGAAGGAGACGAGACGGACCTCGATCTGAGCGAAGACGTGGGGGAGGGCACGGCCGTCATGGGGAAAACTGGGGAGATTAAATGGAGCATTCGGCTGGAGCCTGGCAAGGAGGTGCGGACTGTGCTAGAATATGAGGCGCGAGTGCCGAGTGGGAGTGAGGTGGGTACGTCTTATGGATAGATATTGGAGACTAGCCAATGAGCGGTTTTGTCTGCTCGTCGATAATGGGCGAAGGATCATTTTATTAGTATTCTGTTCTCCGGCCCCGTCCACGGTGGATTTGGTCCAAAGCAGTATTTGAATTAGGAATGCAATGACAATGGAAATGTACAATGCTAATCCATTGAAGAAATACAAATTCTGAAGCAAATTGAATATACTCCGTATTTTGACAACAATTAAACGTCTAGTCTTTTTCACCTACCATAGACCGAACCCATAATGACCATCCCGCAACCCGCCCCGATATATAAATAAACACATAATACGGAGTACTCCATACTCAAACCTCTACAATCCAACAGATAAGCACCAACAGTCTCCCACTCTCCATCTTCATTTCCCCTAACTGCCACAATCCACAATCCACAATCGATAATCTATTTCCAGTCTCCGATGAGATGAGACGGGATTACAAGGACATGAGGTAATTGCCCGCGGGATTCCTGATTTTCCAGGCCGGGAGAGTGACGCGAGGCCGCGGCGCTAACCGAAGACGGTAATCACCTGCCTGAGGCGGCCCAGCTACTGCCACGCTATCATTTAACGCGCCAGCATCAACACCGAGGTCATGATTTAATATGGCCCTTGTTGTTAATTGTTGTTATTGGTGATTTAACTTTTACTGTTTTATAATAATCAAGTGGCTACTTTTTTTGCACCCTTTGACTGAAATTCAATTGACAGTGACAGCAAGAAAAGAAGAAAAATAAACTCTTCCGAACCGGAGCGCTCGATCGGAAAGAACCGGCACTGCAAACGACGGAAACCGTTAAGCGCAAGGTTAAGCTAGCCCAGCTACTGCAGGTTGCAGCTGTTCATCTGGCGCATCCCTGCTAGAAGCTACATATGTAAGTGGTCGATAGTAAGGGGGAACGGGTAATTGAGATTTCCCTATCGGAGAGCAGAGCAGGGATGCGGGTTACGTAAGAGTGCAGGGCGGCTGAAATGAAATCATCCCCATTGTCTCTAGCGGAGTATAGGGGAAAATAAATGTGGGATCCCCAGGGGAAGGGGGATGGTAGAGGGTATTATTTAAGTAGAGTCAATAGCCAGCTGACTTGGGATGAGTGAGAGAGGATGAATGTTTATGATTGTTTTACTGTTATGTGATCGTTTTTTTTTTCGTGTTGGTTTTTTTCCGGTGGTGGAGAGAAGCTAGTGCTGACCAGCGAAAAAAAAAGTGAGGCCGACAATCGCAGGAATTTTCAGGTCACGCCGCGGACGGAGTTATTCTCGTCTTGGAAGTTGGAAGCTGCGAGGCTACCTAGCTAGCGACGCTGGCGCGGCGAAGCGCCTCCCCCCCTTTTCTTTTTTTGTCTGGGTGCCTGCGCGCGTCTCCCTGCAGGATTTTCTCTGATATATCCAAAAAAGATATATAACCCGGACAACCACCCTCGGAAGGGGTTACACGTCCATCTGACCCTCTGACCAATCCTCCCTAGGCTACCGGCCCTTTCAAAGAGCCAGGGAGAAAGCTCGGGTGGGCAGTGGATGATTGGGGGAGGTGCTGTGGATGGTCAGCATTCCTGACGGATTCCGAGACGTTCCAAATAGGGAAGAGTCGGTGAGGTCGGAGGGTTTTTATTTTTTTATTTTTTCTTGGTTTCATTTTATCCAGGTTTGCTGCATCTTTCCCGAGGGAAGACGCCTACGAAATTATTTTTCTCCCTCCAGCCGAAAAAAGCCCAACATCCACCAGGTCCATCGGGGCGGCAACCAAACAAAATTGGCATTTGGCTTGGGAAGTCCGGATGCAGTGGAGCCGCATACCCGATTCGGCCCGGTGGGTTTGAGTCCGAGAAGAAATCCAGAAATTAGCATGCGCGCTGTGGACGGTGATTGGATTCCAGGACAGCGCCATGTGGGTCTGTACCACTTTATCGGACCCAGCTGAAACCTTGGGACCCACCTGGAACTCTCATTTTTCTGTGACTACGTTGAGCTCACCTCACATGCCGTAGAAAATCGTTTCCCTGCCTTAATGCTGGTTCATTGTTGAGGTGATGAAAGGGAGGTTGAGCAATTGGTGACGGAGGGGAGAGAGGAAGGGAAGGCAAGAATGTAGGAGTAAGACTGTAGAAGCTTCAATTGCCATGGAAACATGTCCACCGGATGGGTCAATTGGATCACCGGTGGACTCAAATCACGACTCGGGACTCGTGGACTGCTCACCTTCAGCTCCATCCGCGGAGCAGCGCGGCCGGCAAAGACCCTGATCCATTGGCTGGACCAGAAAGAATCCTCCCTTGGCCCCATCCCGAACGAACCCGATAAGTCGCAGGCGTCGCCAGGGCGAGGGAAGAGAGGGATGTGCGTGGAAAAGCAGAGGAGGCCTGGGAATTACGCTGGAATAGGGATAGGGATATACACCACGTAGGCCTAAACGGACCATTAGTGGCAGGTAGGGCTTTTTTCCCAACCCACGCAGGCGCACTAAGACCGACGGGGACGGTGGGTGGACACAAAAAAGACGAAAATTTAGCGGGAGAGTATTTATGTCCTGCTAGGCCTCTGTTGTCAACTTCTCCAGCTTTTTCCCTCCCAAAAAGTTCTTCCTCCCTCCCTACCCTTTTCCTTCCCAACTCCTCTCATAAACCAAAAAAAAACCAAACCACCACAAACCAATCCATCACAATGTCCTCCACTCGTATCTTCGCCTCTCGCATGGCCTCCACCATGGCCGCGACCTCCAAGGTCGCCCGCCCGGCCACCCGCGTCAACGCTGTCGTCCCCAAGCGTACCTTCACCTCCCAGAAGAAGACCATCCCCATGACCCCCTTCCAGACTCTCAAGCGCCAGCAGCCCTCCAGCCTCATCCAGGCCAACGCTCGCCAGGTCTTCGCCAACCAGGCCGCCCGCCGCCAGTACTCCTCTGAGATCGCCGACGCCATGGTCCAGGTCTCCCAGAACATTGGTATGGGTTCCGCCGCCATCGGTCTGGGTGGTGCCGGTATCGGTATCGGTGTTGTGTTCGGTGCCCTCCTGCTCGCCGTCTCCCGCAACCCTGCTCTCCGTGGCCAGCTCTTCTCCTACGCCATTCTGGGTTTCGCTTTCGTCGAGGCCATCGGTCTGTTCGACCTGATGGTTGCCATGATGTGCAAGTACGTCTAAATTATCTGAAATATCATGGTTTTATAAAAGAGAGCTGGTCGGGGGCGGATTCTTTACGACTGTTTCCCCTCCCGGGGAGCACCGTGTGGGCGTCCACGCAAACTCTTTTTGTCAAGCCCTTGGGGGAATTGGTGTAAGGAAATCATCGTGCTCGCTTTTCGGAAACTCTGCGGACGGGGTTTTCCGCTCATTTGGTTCTCTCGTGAAGGAGGTAATTTGTCGTGGTCTTTTTATATATCATGTACTACAATTCCGTCTCATCTATCATCCGAATACATTTTGTACATATAGAGTTTAAAATGGCCACTAAAACTCCTTTGAGCCACCTTTCTTTTTTGTCACTGACGTCGTTTTTTCTCATCCTTTCTGCCATCTTCAATGATTGTATTACTCCTACGATTTTCTTGGTTTTGGGAATTGGAGGATCGGGTTGAAGGAATTCGGGATCGAAATTGATACGTGCACTCTTCTCTCCCTTGGGGCAGTTTACCCCGGACTTTTCCCTCCGTTTTTTACGTGTCTTCATGAATCTCTGCTATTCTTGAACCATTCAATTGGCATCTGCCATCCAGGTTGCTCTAGTCCGTGAATTCAGTAAGCTCGAGCTAGCTGGCAGCTTTCTCCGGATTGTTAGTAGTAGCTCCCTTACCCTCCCTCCCTAGCTCCCTTTCCCGCTCAGACATGGAGACAAACAGCCAGATGGACAAGACAACAAAGCTCAGCCAGCTTAAGCTAGTTAGATAAGACTAGAGCAAACTAGGCCATTTACAGCTCTACACCGGTCACCGTACGACACCGGAAAAAAAGAAGAAAACGAAAAGGCAAAACAACAACAGAGCGACGCCAGGAATAGCGGTGGCAGGACCGGAATGAACGCGCCTCCTTGCCGGAATAGCCTTCATTAAATTATGGAATGTGAGACGAGTCTGAGACGTGAGAAACGGACCGGAGGGTAGCTCTTACGGACACGCCCTTGGGGGTATGTGCACGGAGGCTTTTCTTCGGGTCTCGGGCAACACACGGCCCTTCCTATCCGTTCTTCCTAGCTTTCCTCGACACGTTCATTTAGCTACGTAGACCGATGATGAGATGAGATGAGATGGACACATGGATTACGGTGAAGATAGATACAGTAGACAGTTCAACATGCGACGTGTCGATGTTGTCCTCGACTTTTGCAGGTGATGAAACACCCCCCCATTCCTCCCTTGGGGCCCTTCCTTTTCCCAACCTCGCTCCGTTCTGCCCTTCTGGCTTCTGCCGTGGTGGATCCTGGATTCGGCGATCCGGATCGTGAACGTCACCGTTGCCGTCAGGTCCGGTTCAGTTCACCCAGACCTGCCTGGCCTTACTCGTTGTCCGTACCCTTCCATGATTACGCTTCCACTCCCCTACGGAGTCAATTGAGAAAAAATTGATCTATGTACGGAGTTTGCCGATACTCCCAGATCAGAACAAAAAATTATACTAACAGCTTCGTAGTTTCAGTCAGCTCTCACTATGTACGCTGTATGCAGCCAGCCTGCATGAAGAATTTTTCACCTGACAGATCCAAACCCAAACCCGAACATGCGAGAGTTTTACCCTCTGACCCTCGGTAAGACTTGCAGCTTGGCTTCTGTTGCCCTGGGTTAGACGCTGCCAAGACCCGATGGGTTCGGACTAGTGAGAAGCGGGATTTGAGATGTAGGTCCGGTCTTAGTTATCTATCACTCCCTGTGCGATTTATCGAGGTGCTTATGATGTCTATCTGGTAAGCCAAGGAGAGTCGGTGGAAGGGATTTATTTGGATCTTCTTTGCTCAGTTTGTTGGGTCGTTGGGCTTCTTGATGTTTGCTGGGTTTGTTGCGATGAGGTAAGCCGACGGTGGAGATCATGTGACCTTTATCATGTGAATGGATTATGGCTGGAACTTGAATCTATCCGTAGGTAGGGGTTCAGTACTTGTGTGAGTATGTAGTGTATGTCCAATTGAGTGATATCATATAGCTTCCCAACTCCAGAATATGTCCTCCGAATAACACGGTGAAGCCCGAAATATTTCGCTTCCACTACACCGACAAACCAACCGACCGAATGACGCAATCAGCTCCAAACCGAAAACTATACACATTTTCAACATATACAAACACAAGAAAACCACCGATCAACCGGTCCCAAAAGACAAATGATCCGGCTCAAACAACCCCAACGAAAGCTGACTATTGAATAACTGCCACATCATTCCCTCCGTCGAAGGCGTCACCTCAGCCGGATACTGTTCCTGCATCCAGAGCTCCGTCGGCGCACCAACAGCCGCCGACGAAGACACTGACATGTTCTCGGTCCCGTAAGCGGTAGCGCTGTGCCCGGGAACCGTGGTCTCAGGCTCGGACGTGGCCGTGGCCAATGGATACCATCGTCGCCCCCGTGGCGGTGGAGCGTCCTGACTGTCGACGGTCTGGAATAAGGGCTCGCATAGTTGTTGCAGAGAGGCCAGGAGGTTAAGCATCTTGGTGACGTAGGGGCTTTCGGTGAACTGGGCGAGGCCTTGAGTGATGCTGCAAATGAGATGGTAGTCGTCTTTATCGAGAGTCCCGATGATGTTGCAGATGAGGACGAAGAAAGGGCTGAGAGGGTACATGAACATAGTCCTGGTGGTCGTGTTTAGCTAGGCATCAAGTGTTGGGTAGGTTGATGGAAGCGGGGGATGCAAACCATGTGAGGAAGAAGGGGTACGGAGCGAAATCTAACTCGTTGACGACGTGTTCTTGGAGGTATTGTAACGCTTTCAATGAGCATCGGGCGTACGAGAGGCATTCTCGATGCGTTAGTGGACTAGGGGCGTAGCGGAGGCGTGTTCGTAGGATTTCGACGAGTATGGCGTAGTAGCAGAAATCGACAGATTTCCAGTCGCTCAGGATCAACTCAGGGATGGAGTCGCGGCCCTTGGAGCTATATCAGTCCCGGCTTGCTTCCGCATAGTGGTGCTTGGCTTACGGCTTGCAAATTGTTGTGGATAATGCACATCCTTTCCTGCAGGCCTTGACAGTGGGCGAGGACTTGACTAGAGCTTCTGTGCTTCCCGTGAAGCGAGATGTCGAGCAGCTGGTCTTGAATTTGAGACAAATCTATGATGATGCGGATGAGTGGCGTATATGGCACCGATGTATCCATTCTCACCAGATCAGTGGGAGATACTTGAAGATTGGGCAGTGATGGCGGTCGAATCAGAAGAGCGCTGAGAGTTCGATCAACATAATAACACCAATATAGCGAACTTTTGACTTCTTCTTCCCCGTTCGAAGGATCGCTAATATCATGATAGTTCAGAGATACTATCAAACGAGCAGCGTAGGATGTTAGCACCCATGAGTGATTTGCTCTTCCCAAAGACTGCATCAAAAGACCCTATATGAAGAATGTCAATTTGTATATAGAAAAGCGTGTTCGGGGGTATAAAAACGTACAGCTGACAGTAATGCCTGTATTAAAGCAAGACTCGGCATGGCAAGGATGTCAAGCTGTTTGAGAGAATGAATAGCAGCCGCTTCGTATAACTTCCTGGAATTGGCGAGATGCTGGTGAATTGATTTGTTTTTGGATACCCTCGAAACGTTATATAGACGTGAAATCGCTTTCACGTAGACACACACGCAATATTGGTGAAATACTTGTCCCCGGGTCTCGTTCTCTAGAAGATAGACTGTCATTTTCTCAAGTGTCTGTTCTGATATATGATCTGGCCATATCAAACGATTGCCTGGTACTTCTGTGACCGTGGGTTCTATTCTTTGAGGTCAGCAAGTTCCAAATCCAACGGGTTCTAAAACATTACCTCGAAGAAGCATATACAGTAATTCTGTCGGAGGAGCATTAGGAACAACAATTTCGGGGTCTTGACTCGTTACTTCGGGCGGTAAATCCTTTTCTGACTCCGCATTGATGTCTCCCTTGGTCATCCTGTCGACAACGCTTAAGGCGGATCTGAGCGTTATCCATCGCTCACGGCTGATGTTCTCACTCCCATCCAGCTCGTTCTGGATGATAGCCTTGGCCTTCTTGGCATGATGAGTGGAATCATCCGGGCCTCCGATTGATTCATTGTTGCCATGAGGCGTACTGCTATGTGGAGAGTTGTGCTCGAGCTTTCTTCTTTTTACATGTGATTCGTCTTCTGCCTCATGGATGTGGCTAAGTGGACTCATGCTGGCCCTGTAGAGAGTTGTCAAATTATGTTTTCGAACGCAGACCAGATACCACGAGGAAATTACCTGTGTGAGCTAGAAGCTACTTTCTCCAAATTTAAGATCCGTTCTTCAAGAGCCGACACCCTGCTGATGTCAGCTTTATCTGAGGTTCTGGCCTGCAGCTAACATACCCCGACAGAGATTTCGGCTTCGCAGGCCGATGAGGCCGTAATCGTCGACATTCCACACCCGAATCTGCGCAATTCGAGCATCTTTCCTGCCTATCGCATTTCACTTTTCTCGAATAGCACAGATCACACTAACGGTCCGTTAGCGTGTCCGTAAATGCTTGACAGTAAGCTTACGCGAATAGGGGAAGTCGACTTCAGCGTTCGCACTTACGGCAGGTAATATTTCTCCGGTCATTAGGTGGTATATTTCCAGGGTTATTAAATTATCGATATGAAGCGCCAAAAATTTGGCAAACTAAGTGGAGGGCCCAGTTAAGGGAAACTGGCGAAAGAAGTGAATTCGTGAAGTTATACGCGTCGGATTTAGTCATTTGGAGGAGTCGAGATTGTTCCGCTGACTGATGAGTCTTGGCGGGGAGCCCTACATCCACTCGGGCTTCTATACTTTATTTCTTGGGTAGATAATACACATCCACTGATTTTAATTATACAAGGGTGGATCCAATGACTCATTTCCAGCGCGAACCTTGAATCTTATTTCAGGACATATCGCACCCCCGAAACCAGCATCGCTTTGGCGTACTGCTCATGCAACCAAACCGCCGGTGCCGGCATCAGCGATCCCTCCGCTTTCCCTAATCCCTGAAAGAATAGCGTCTTGAAGCCAAACTCAACAACTTCTTCTTCCGGTTTAACCTGCACACTAACTTCCATTAGTGCATCTAAAGGCCGAAGGCCCTGATTTGAGACTACATCGCCGCCCCGGATGAGAATTGAGTTCTCCGACTTCTCCAAGACATTGAAGTGATCGACGATCGTGGTTCCTGGTTCAAATTCGGAGTCGAGAAGCTCGGACGGGGACCAGAGCTGTTTCTCTGTAGCTGCTGATCTATAGAAACATGTTAGGAGGATGCGTTGGATTGCGAACCCTTCGTGGTGTGTTGATTAGCTGTTACTCTAACCAGATAAAGTCGAATTAAAGAAGGCGTACCAAGCCCGGCCCAAACTCCACCGCAGTATCGTTCAAGAAGCTTCTGCTTGTCTTGCAAAAGAACGGGATCTATTTGCGAAAATGGAATTCTCCGAACATGCAAGTCATGGATGGTTGGGTTGCCGGAGGGATTATAGTTCCTGTGGTATTTGGAATGGAAGATTGGATCTGAAGAAGGTAGAGGAACGAATTCAATCTGACGGGTCGTGTAGAAAAAACTTGTCGCTGCAAGCGCTCCGCCAACTGGAAGGCCTTTGAGGAGAAGATACCTAAAGAGTGGCATTTTATTCATGTTACTGTTTGGACAATGAGGATGGAATTGGGTTCCGGTGGACTTGAACACGGTTTTTGATAAGTAGGTTCCCAAGTAAACCACGGATGTTAAATACAGGGAGCTAGATTAAGGACCGTTAAGTCCGAGTTTTGGTTGCTTCACATCGCTCATTTCAGTTTCTCTGAATCACAGTTTAAACGCTTGTATGAAGATTCGGATCTTCGGATATGCTTTCGGAGACCGAGATGGCGGATCTCCGAACCGATTCGGAAAGGCGTTGTTTATCGGGAAATTGGCGGACTACGAGTGCTGGGCCCTGCGATGATCTTTCACGCCGTCTAAGGGAAATGAAGCTTCAAAATGGATGCATTGAATCATGAAGCTATTCAGGTCCAATTTGGCTGTACACCGACCGGTTTTAAGAATATGACTAAGCACGATAATGGCCGGTAGAATGTTTACCCTTTCATCCTCGGCTGCTGAATATAAACTGCAAAAGAGATCCCGTTCTTCCTCATAACCAGTTCGAAATCAAGCATGTCTCCTGATCCACTATACACGCCTAAAGAGGTCCCTCGGATCAAAAACGCAAAGCGCCTGACAGCCACCCGTACTAAGCAGCTGGTGCGCGCAGCTGAACGTGCCCATGACGATCCACCACCGCCGCCGGGTCTGGGCGAATGCTGCGGGAGCTCGTGCGATCCTTGCGTAAATGATCTTTGGAAAGAGGAACTGGCATGTTGGAGGGAGCGGTGGGGCGAGGGCGCCATGGAGAATAAGAAGGAGCAGGAACAGAAGCCGCGCATGCCGGGGAGTTTCGACTGGTGAAGAACTGGAAACATTTTGAGCCATTCTCATTCAAAAAACTTGCATTCCGTCAGTTGATATCGATATTTAGAGGCTATCTATATCTGCGGATTCTCCAGAAGAAACTCCTCCAGTGAGATTGTGCGCACGCCCAACTGCTCGTTCTGAAGCGCCTTCAACGCCTATGTCCCGTCTACCGTATACAATTGACATAACCACCCGATGTACTCCCAGAAATGCTTGCGATGTCCAGCCAGCCTTGCCTGGAGGGTTCTCTGTCTCAAATCATTCTCATTACCTATGATATCAACCTGCACATCCCGGGACCTCACGCGCGAATACACATCCGCAATCTGCCTAAGCGAGTGACCACCCGACGCCACGGTCCAGAACCCGCCCCTTTCAGCGTCATCACGGAGCACAGTCTCTACTGCAAATTCGGCAGCATCGTTCTCCGTCGTCCAATGCCAGATCTCCTTTCCAGAGCCCCAGATCTCAAGCCTCTTACGTTCCGGATCCTAAACGCCATGATTCGCCGGCGAAAAGTCCCCGTGTCCAGGCCCAGAGAAGAGCACCTCCGCCAGCACCCTGCAGAAAATATAAATGGGGCGAATGGGCACGCTGAGATCGACTTGGTTCCGAATCGAGATGTACGGATCGTAACTCTCATGCTGGCCGAGGGCCATATCGCCCCAATCATAGTTCCAGCTGGCGGCGACGAAGCGACGTACGTCGACGCGCTCTGCGGCCCGGATGAGCAGGAGCTGGCCTTCGAGTTGGAGCTCGGGGATGCCGCTATAGGCGCAGATTACGGCATCGACTCCCTGACAGACGGTGGCTAGAGCTTGGGTATCGGCTTATGAGGAGCTTTCGACGAAGCTTTCTAGGGAGGTAAGGGTTGAGGAAGAGAGATTGGACGGGTTACGACCGAGCCTGCGCACTTGGTGGGGGTGTTGAAGGAGAGAGGTGATGAGATGTTGGCCGATGTTGCCTGTGACACCGGCGACTAGGACGAGCATGATGTTGGTGATGTTAAAGAGATTGAGTTCTTGAGAATGTTGGAAAGGGGTAAAGTCATTATGAGATATGTTTCCGTATTTATATGTCTAAGTCTATGAATTCTATTTTAAGTCGGAGTGTCGGATATCCGATGCCTCTAATATCAAGTCTGGAACTGGCTAATTAGACACTTGTTGCAATTCCCCGCAGTCTTGGCATCAGAGAACCGTTTTGATAATCAGGCAGTCTAGACCAAAGTAACTAGGCCAGACTCATGGTATTGATTTGGGGCTAGTAGGTACGGACCGTTAATATATTCATTAAATCTCGGTTCAGATCGTGCATATCGGCAGTATGATATGCAGATAGAGGAGTGACTTGAACCGGATTTCCTCTGACCTTGACTGTCTTGATTGTTCTCTTTGGTTTGACTAAGTAGGGTGGTTGATTGTAAAGGAGAACAAAAAAAAAAAAACAAAAAAAAACACAGGACATAGAATATGGATTTAAGATCTAGGATAGTGATTTGCTTATGAACAACTACGATCTAGATCTTCTGATACCGTGAGCATCAACAGGCCCTGATATAAATAGTGATAGAAAATGTATTGCACCAACGAGAGTAACGAGAAAGAAGAATTAAAAGCAGAAAACGTACAAGGGCAAGAGAAAAACAGAAGAAAGAGTTGGCTGATGTTCAAGAGGAATGATTTTAGTGCTTAACGAGAATGGCTTTCCGCCCTACACGCCATGACCCAGCCTGTCAGTAAAGGCAGTTCGGAAAGATCTAGAAAGATTGTAACGACAAAGAAGACAAAATGCGTAAATTATTCATAGCAAGCAAGATTGATGGTGGTGTTTGCTGTTTTCTTTGTCGCAGTCGATCAGTGTTTGCCAGTCAGTTGAGCTCTGCTCTTATAAATAGTCAGGACTTTCCCATCATGGTCTATTCTGAACCATTCTCCTTTACCATTTAAATTGCATACCTCATACCCTCAGAGTGTCTAAATCTCTACCCGTGAAGCTAAGCCAGCAAATATGAGTCTCCACGATCTTTCCCACCAACTTCCTCCTCTAGTCGTCGTGCTATACACCCTTTTCCGGTCAGTGCACCTAATCACGCACCCGGAGCATATCGTATGGCAGCGAATGCTATTTCCGCGCCTGAACTTCTGGAACGCCCCACTGTGGATCTGTGCATGGTTTTGTTTAGTATTGCTCCGCATCTTCAGCGACGGTGACCTCAATAAGTTTGACAGAGAGCTCAAAATCCTGGGAGTTTTCATATTTTATGATGGAACCTTCAGGTGGATTTGTAGTTGGAGTTTGGAGGAGACATGGTATCGAATGGTCTGGGGGTTGATGATTATGCTTTGGGGATGGGCAAATCTAACTGTTTGTCGTCATCGTTTTGCCTACTTGGTGGTCGAATGGTCAGTATGATTCGCGATTTTGATCGACTGCACTGTTATTTGGGAGATTGAAGGCGTCGAGGAAATGTTGGGTTTAAGAAGGTCTGTGTATGAGAGAGAGGATTTGAACGTGCGAATGTTCTTTGGAATCCAGAGGCCATGCAGGAATAGCAGCAAACCTTCCGAAGTAGAGTCTATATTCAACTCGTCATAATGGCCGCTCCTCATGGAAGAGATCCCCAAATTAATCGGAATCCCTTCTTAGTTGAGAGATAATAGTTGAGTTATTACTCAACAAATATTATTCTCATGCCACTGTCGATAGCTGTAGAGTATCAGTGGGCTCAGTGATTCTAGCGATAACTACTATTGGAAAACGATGTCGTCTGTCTTTCCAACCCCTTGCTTTGAAGAGTTCAGCCTTGCATATCGGCCTGGATAATAGCGGATCTCCCCCAGAAAGGCGAATCAAATTCAAAATTTCATATTAGCATTGGCTAACCTTAAAAATATGGTAATTCAAGGTATATGACAAGGCATGTAAGACAGTTGAAAGTGTGGAGATTTCTCGGAAAAGCAAATGCCGCATTCCAGCCCCAGCCCCATCCCTGCTCCACAAAGGACACCTATAAAGAAACCAGTAAACCCTTGCTGTCAACCACATAAAACCAATCATCCACAGATTTTTCAAGAAACAGTCTCTATCAAATATGTCTTGTGAAAATTGTCCTCCTTCCGTCAAGAAGGAAGCCACGAGTTCGACTCCAAATGAAAAGGGCCTTGCATCGCGCGTTCTTCAATTGGGCTCGGTAGCTTTACTAGAAGGATTCGCATTATTATCATGCTCGTGTTGTTGGTTACCGGTAATTATTTTCATTGTTTATTCTATTCTGATTCTTTTCATGATATATCTAACGATCCTGCTCAAGACTGTTCTTGATTTGGTCTTTGCTGGTTCCGTGACTGCGGCTAGCCTTCAGAACTTGCGCTTCGTCTTTCTGGCAATATCATTACTATCTCTAGCATGGGGAATACGGCGGGAGGGTCTCAGTCGCAGTATGATGTGCCGTATTGTCATTAGTGGGGGTATGTTGGCCTGGTCGCAATATAAGGAGCAGACGGAGGAAGCGGTAGGGCATCACAGTTGTCATTGATTTTTTTGAATTACCGATGTTTCTTCTGTCTCCAGAATCTCCAAAAAGAAAATGTTAATGAAATACTTTTATAAGAGATTGGAAATTCTGATATTGACAAGCAAGCATTATACTTTCAACTAAATAATAAACAATATTCCGCTATATCGCTGAACAGGCATTTCGACATAACAATCCATCACAAGTAGTTGATAAGCTCAGAGGGTCTCGGCAATGTTATAAACCAATTTCTCGCCACTGACCTTACCTTCTTTCATCAACTGCAGTCCTTCTGCGACTCCCTTAAGACCCCCAGCGATAACACTTGGCCGATGGGGCTTGATTTTACCCTCGGCAAGCAAAGGCTGCGCGATAGAATCCCAGAACTTTGCAGCAAATTCGAAATCTTCGGGAACCTCAGGGAATTCCCACTGGCCATACTTGAAGTATTCCCCAAGAGTAGAATAGGCGATGATCCATCGTGAGTTCACATTCTCTCGGTCGATCTTATCGACCAACAGAGTAACGTAGTCACCACCCTGAGTGGATAGTGCGTTGTCGCTGAATTGAATAGCGTCCTTTGTTCCAATAGTGTCAAAGACTAGCTTTAGCCCGTCTTTGGTGTATTCGCGAATGGCTTTGGGAGCCTCTGGATCGCGGTAATCGTAAACGAGATCGGCGCCCAGTTGCTTCACAAAATCGAAGTTGCGGGGCGAGCAAGTGGTGATCACGGTATAACCGGATAGCTTGGCAAATTGAATGGCCAGCGAGCCCGTAGCTGATGAGCCTCCGTAGATGAGGATAGGCTCGGGATGGGCGAGGGGCTTGGTAGGAAGTGCAAGTCCTAGTCCCTTCTTATCTTGATACAAACCCTGGGCGACAGAACCAATACCAACTCCCAAGGTGGCTGCTTCTTGAAAGCTCAGTGAGTCTGGAATGAGAGCTGCTGCATCGCCCTTCACCACGATGTACTCAGCAAAAGCGCCGTTTTCTGGATTGACAGCGTTGGAGCCATGGGCGAAACCACAGATGCGATTACCCCGGCGGAAGGGCTTGGTTACACCTTTACCAACTTCCTCAACAATGCCGGCATAGTCGCAACCAATCAAGGCCCCGGGAGGAGGGCTATTTTTGAGTTGTTTCCAATCGGTCGGATTCAAAGCCACGCTGACAGTCTTGACAAGAATAAAGTTGTCGCGAAGCTTAGGAATAGGGCGATCGGTGACGAGGACCGGCTCGTACTCGTCGGAAACCACAAGAGCTTTCTGAGACATGATGTTAATGAGATATTGAACGGATGATTGCGGCCCACATACAGCTTACGGAGGGGCTGATCAGGCATTTTATGGCTGTTATCGCCAGAAGTAAACAATGAATGCCTCATGGATGTTGGATGATGGATGATGCCATGATGACAAATTCGGAGACTTTCCTTGCCAATCGGGGTAATAATTAACCTAGTTAGGGCACAGGAAGGATTAATAATCAACGGGCCGGACTTCTTCATCGAATCCGCTTTCTTCCATTGTCGTATCCAACATCTCCCCATCCCCGACCTCCATAAGATCGTGCGTATTACGGTCTAAATTGCGTCAGATCCACCCTCGCGAGATCTTGACCCGATCCCTGCTCTTAACAAGCCTCCACTATTAACTACCTGGTCTGTGCTACAAATGTGCCCGATCCAATGAGATCCTGACATGCACCGTGAAATGACCTATCAAGACTTGGATTAGCAAGCAACTTTACTTGGTGACTGCCATATTTACACCGACCTTTCAACTATCCCAGCTGCCTCATTTTAATCCTTGTACTTATCATGACCCCCTCCCCTCGGGAGCGGGTCCCTCGAGCCTGTGAACATTGTCGCGCGCGCAAAATCAAGTGTAATGGCGAACAGCCTTGTAATGCTTGCTCACGAGATCCGCAACGATGTGCTTATCGAACGGGGCACATTCGCAAGAGGAAAAGCCGCCAACCGAAAGAGGCTCCTCGGGCGCCAGCAGCGCTGTTACCGGCCACCACGCAGTCTCCAATACCGACGGAATGGTCGCCGTCGGTGACACTAATGGACGATCCGGTCCATTATAAACGACAGCATGAACTCAGGGCTGGAATCGGTGTGTGCAACCCGGAGACGGGAAATTTCCAATTCTACGGTTTGTACTCTACCCACCCCTCCCCCTCTCACTTGTTGGTCATGACGGGACTAATAACTATCTCTAGGTCCTTCGTCGGGGTTCGCTTTTCTGCAACGGATCTACCAGCGTATTAACAAATCTTCGTCCAACCAGTCGCTACTGGCGCGTCAAAGCTGCTCCGTGCCAGATGCATTGCACAAATGGGGCATGGAGCGATTCATGTTTGCCGCCGACACGGATGGTGACCTTCGTCTAGCCCAATTGCGGACGGAGGCTTTTCTCCCCCAAGCTTTAGGCGAAAGATTCATCGAGGCCTATTTCAAGATTATTCATCCGCAGATGTCGGTGCTTGTGCACTCGGAGGTCATGGAAACATGGACTCAAATGTGGGAGTTCCCAGTGCGAGGTCGCAAGCTGAAAAACCAGGAGATCTTGTTCATGGTGCTGGCTCTTGGGGCTCGTGTCGTCAATCTGAAGGATAAGGAGCCCGAGGCACGTGTCGAAGGCTGGGCTGAGCATTTCTCCAATCGCGCAGCCGAAGGGCCGATCTTTTTGCAGGAACCAAGTGTAAAGGGAATGCATCTGATGCTGTTGAAGGTGAGGCCTGGGAGTTTTAAGAAATAGTACATTTGCTGATGGTATAGGCTATGTATTCTCTGCAACTAATGCGACAAAACGATGCCTATCTTTATCTTGGTCACGCAACACGGATTGCTATGGTGCTGGGCTTGCATCGCTCACAAGTGACGGACGGACGAGAACCACATATGCATCGACTTCGACTCACCTTTTGGACCGTATTCGTCTTTGAACGCATCTCATCTATGTACATGGGTCGCCCCTCTGCCCTCTCTGATAACCAGATTGACACGGCATATCCCGAGAATTTTCCGTGCAACAAAAACGAAAACATCTATCAAGCACCATCCATTGAATGCGCTTGGGTGCGAGCCATGGCCGAGATCGGAAAGCTCGCCGACCGAATATCGGTGGATATTTACTCGCCTGCTAGCATAAAAAGCATCGCCGACCTGGCTACAGTTAATAACACTAGCTTGGAATGCGACACAGCCCTCCAACGCATCAGCACTTCGCTCCCATCCTATCTTCACTTCTTTGACGAGAACGTTCCTATCGGCGAGGATTGGCAGGAAATCCAAAGGATCAGTCTCGGATTTAGTTACTACGTTCTTCGGATGCTGCTATACCGACCGGCACTAGTCCTGACGACTTTCTTCTCGAGCCCTGCAGAAGCGCAACAGACTGCGGTCTGTGGAGTTGACATTCAAGCATGCATTAACGCCTCGACATCTGCCGCTCGCAACTTGGTCAACTTAGCGCACGATGTATATTTCCGCCGCTTCCCAGACATTCGATATGATGGGGCACTTGCATCGTTTCTCGTCTCGGCGACGATGACCATGTTATATGACGTATTAAACCTTGGGACGGAGCCGGACCGTGCGCGACAGACCTTTGCCGTCGTTGAAAAAGGCATTCAATGTCTTGACGAGATTGAGCACACCGGATACACAACAGGTAAAGTGCTTAGTATGGATTTGATGAAGGTGGCCAAGCAAGCGGTACAAGCGGCAGATCCTGTCATCGATACGAATCAGGTTTTGGTCGATTCGTTTCCATGGCTAGAGTAGGTTCACCCTCCCCGAATAATGTCCATGAACACCTGTTAATCAATATTCTAGTAACTGGACCCCCGGAACCACTACCACCGACCCCAGTGCCCAACAAACTCCTTATGTGTTCCCGCAGGACGGGACGTTTCCTGGGATTGGCACACTTGCCGCCGACACAGCAATGTTAACTGGAGGAGAAGTGAACTTCCTCTGGTTGAACAATGGTCTTGATCCGAGCACAATCCCAGGATGTTTATATTAATGCATAACTATAGACAAGTAAATATTCAAATGCATAATGGAAAAGAATTACATGATACCAAATCATTCTACGGACTACGGTTATATTGTTCTCGTCTGCCTCTCTTCTGCTCCGGGACCATACCATAGGACAATAAACTAAACTATTAAGAAAGCTTCCCCCCATCTAACACCTCCACCCGACTTCTCCTCCAAGCATTCTCCAACTCAAATATCGATCCCGTCGCTATTGCTTTGACAGTACACAAACTCAACCAAATAGCCATCACAACCAACAAGATAACCAGCACCGTCGACCAAACATGCAGCGCGGGCGAATCCATAATCTTCCCCAACTGCACCGCACAATTGGTATACACGCCCTAATGGATTAATCATCAATGTCTCAGCGAACCAGATCCAAACGAGCAACACTCGGGAAGAAAAAGAAAAACCTACCCACGGAAATATCAACGCCCAAGCCGCCATACTAAATCTTGTCGCTCGCAAACCCCCAGGCTGACTTAGTAGCGTATGCACGATACTCACGGTGGCAAAACACCACCAGAAAGTGCCGAAGCCCCAAGACATCAACCCCGCCCACTGGCTAATATACGCGATCGGACGGGCCGCTTCGGCAGTGAGGAACGTGCCGCGGTTATACGACGCAAAAGAACCCTGTAAGACAGCGGTGCCGAGACCCTGTAGTGCGAATCCACCTTGTCCGAAGGGTCCGCAGAGGACCATGTCCTGGTAGACTTTGCTCGGCGTGGGATATGTCCGGTTGAAGTGTTCAAGAAGCACGATGGCGGTAAAGGCGAGGGCAAGAGCGAATCCGGTTCCGACTTCGAGGTACGAGATGATGATGGTGGGGACTTGGAGGCGGGGGCTGATGTTTGCGGAGGTGCAGATGACGCCGCCTCCGGCGGCGGAAGTGAGGGCTGCGATGACGGGGAGGAGGATGGAAGGTGGAATGTGTTCGATACCCGGGGGTTGGAGTTTGAGTTGGGTGTAGGGAATTAGGATGACGGCGATGATAGCGAGGGCGGTGCTGATGCACCAGAGGATGTAGGCGGGGAGGCCGGCGGAGGAGCCGTATTGGAGACTGACCATCTCGATGATGCTGGTGAAGGTGATGGAGATGCTGGCGAGGCAGGAGGTTTCGAGGAGATCAGTGCGGAGCTTGTGAATGACATGGTGGGGGTGGATGATGACGCGCAGGATGTAGAGGGCTAGAGTGATACCGAATAGGGCGATTGTATAGATCCAGACGATCTTGGCAAGGATTGGAAGTGCGCCGAATTGGTAGTGCAGTTGGTGCAGGAGCACGGCGATGATGCCGGTGCCTTGCGGGATCAAGAACCATTGAGGACTGAAGTGCCAGAGAGCGCGCGAGAAACGGTTCACGGGTGGAGAATCATCTTCGTGGGACATGCTGTCCGACGTCAATCCCGCTGGCGATCGGTTCTGAGGAAAACCCTCGAGGTTGAAACAAAGTAGGATCATTAGGGTTCATGGAGGCAGGATGGAGGCAGGTGGTCGTGACGTCATGGATTGTTGACGGAGATCCTTGATTATCAGATAAAAATTGACTTTGACCGAGCGTTCCACTCTAGACGACCGATCAGTGTATCAGTATTTGATATTCGATGTTTACGATTAACTCAACCTGAAGTCCTGAACATATCGACTGAAGGTCCAATCCCCAGCTACGCATATCATTGCCGAAAAACAAATTAGCTTACTCTATTTGTAGACCATAGTCCGACGCTAAAGGCACCAAGGCTGCATGTCAGCACCACACGAGGTTTGCAGCGCTTCCTAGTTCGTCCAGTAAGCCGACATGGCGACTAATCATTGGCGCCAACTGCTTTACAGCTATCTGATATTTTCCGAAACACCTCCTGGACGCTAATGCGGGGAACAATCAAAGCCGAGTGTTCGTCCCACCCTTTTAACCCCTCGCAGAATGCTTCCTCCTGCACCTCTTCAAATCAAACGATGGCCAACGGTACCCATCACTATACCGTTGATCGCATCGGAGCTTCACTTGTCTATGATGGGAGAGGTGTAAATGGGCAGTTGGCAGATCCTGCAGTCAAGTACCGATATTCCCCGCGTCCCCGCACCTGGTTATCGCAAAGCTGACTGCTTACCAACAGCATAGTGTTTGTCCACGGTCTACGCGGACACCCTAGGCGAACATGGGAGTATAACAGCGCGTGTCGAGACGGCACTCGTGGAACGGAGGGAAACTCGTCCAGATTATCGTTGTTGAAGTTCTGGTCGAAAGTGCCGCTCTCGCACAGCGTGGATGTCAGCACAAAGCGAGCAAAAACAGGGGTATTCTGGCCTGCAGATCTCCTCCCGTTTGTCATTCCCAACGCGAAGATCTTTTCCTACGGGTATGACGCCGATGTCATCCCGGGTATTTTTAAGAGTACTAGCAGGAATAGCATCTTGCATCATGGAAATGATCTCATGGTGAGGTTGGAGCGGGTAATGGATAATAAGGTAGGACGTCTGAACCAGGCCTTGTTCAGAGATTAAAGTACTTATTAAAGATCGCAGAAACCCATCATATTTGTCGCACACAGCCTAGGTGGTCTCGTTGTTAAAGCGGTACGATAATCGCTTCAGCGTGATATCCAGCGAAGTTAATCAGATTTTCAGGCTGTGCAAAAATGCAAAACAAGTTCTGACATGAGATATCAATCCCTATATCGCCGCTTCGACACAGTCGTGTTCTGTGGAACACCACATAGAGTGAGCGAAGCAGGTGCATGGGGCAAAGTAGCCCGTAATCTCGTTGCTGCTGCATTACGGGATTCGAATCCGATCCTGGTCAGGGATCTGGAAGTCGATTGTCGGATGCTCGAATGTATCCACCTTAACTTTCGAAAGATCCTTCTCGAGGGCAGAATCCGCATACACACATTTCAGGAAGGGCAGGGGCTAAAAGGAGTGAAGGGATTTACCGGAAAGGTGAGGCAATCTGTCATTCCATATTGCTTTGACTAAAACCCAAGGGACCTAGGTTGTGGATGATTTCTCCGCTCGCGTCGATTACAAACCTGAAACCGTTGAGACGATAGACGCCGGTCATCTAAACATGGTGCGGTTCAAGAACGAGAGAAAACCCGGTTTCCGAGCCTTATCTAGAGTATTGAGGAGATATGTATTGACAGTGAACGAGCGGAAATGTAAGATTAAACTATATGCTCGCACTCCCCAGATTAGGATCCCAAGCTGACTTGAAAAGATACACTATGTATACGCAAGGGTAATGAATATTTCAAACGCCGCATCCTTTTATCTTTCCTGCAAGACAGAGAGAAAGCTCTCCGTTACTTTATCCGAGCGTGCAGCCTTCTCAACCCCATTGACTTCGACCGACAGACGTACGTTTACTCGAAGATGATGTTTGTCGAAATGGAAATAAGCTACTATTGTCCGTTTCCTCGACCAAAACAAGCTCAGCATCTACATCAAGCCCATGGATATGGGCTACAGGCCCTTGAAAAGGCCCAGCTATTAAGAGACGTCACCAAGGTGGCTGAGATCAAGCTCATGCTGGCGTGTGTGAAAGCCCGAGAAGTCAAACTTGATTATATCATGGAAGTTGATGATCGGATTCTATCCAGGAAACGTGAGTTGATAATGAAGGAGATCGGGGTAGCGATGAATAATGTACGGACTATGAATCCGTCCAATATAACTGAGTTTGAGCAATGGGGGAAGCGAGCGTTTATGTCTTTAGAGAAATTAAATCTAGTTAGCTTGAGCGAGTAGGATGAGATGTTAGTAGTCAAATGGATTTAATTGAGACACGAAATTCAAAGACTAATCCTGGGATTAGGTGGTAGTGAAGAAGATATTAGAATCCCTCTTGTAGAAAATGGTCACTCATCCTGCCTATATAGAATCTTTCAAGGTTAATGATATTGCTGATCTGATCTATATTCAGAACTCTACAATTTATCATCTGAATTATTCCATTTACATTTATTAAAAAGCCCGATTTATTTGTCACCGGGGCCACCTGCAGGATCGGCAATTTTCAGATATGATGTCATAGGAATACCCCACTATACTCCGCATATAGCGCTCGATCGATTGACCGATTCAAGAGGCTAAGCGATCAGTTCTTCTCAATATACTCCGTTATGTCCCTCCTCTCGTTGTACCTGTACCTTGACGTTCTTAGTGGATTTCAGTCGGCCCCTACGTACCTGGTACCTCCACCAAAAGAAACCAACCAAGTGGACTTGCACCGTCGACATTGAGGTCAAGTCATGCAAGGATGATATCAGCATTTATCCAACGTTAAAGCCATTCCCTACATGGTTATGACCACTGTGATAGATAATTTAGTAATTCCATTTTGATCCTTGCTAAACTTTCCCGTATATTATCTCTAGGCGCACCGGAATCGTGTTAATGGCGCTGGAGTGCAGGAGAGTTGTCGTTATCTACGGGCAAGTTAACCACTTTGATTTTCATGATTTAAAATGCGACATTCAGCGGGCTGGAGGGTTCAAGCCCCTATTTCAGTGGTAGGTACAGCAACAGGAGGTTTTGGTGGTAGGATCGCCGACAGAATTAAACGACGGGTGACATAGCCTCGTTGTCTTTATACTCGTGATGAAGTGGGCGAGCTGAACAGCTGCAGTCTCAAATAACGATCGACAGCCACTTCTGTCCAATTCCAATGGATTTCAGTCGAATAGCCTCGGAGAGACACAGACCACGCCGAGCTGAAACCCGGATCCACAGTTCCCGCTGATTGTCGGCTGTTAATTATTCTATTGCACAGATCGCATGTGGGTCCGGAGCAAGGTGCTTCCAGCAAGATTGTGTTCGTGAAGTCATTTAGTGCTACGCGAGTCAGTGGGTTATGATCAGATCTACATTTTCTATGATTTGGAATCCACTGATCAACCCTCTCGACAATCTTTACCTACTATCGATCATGTCGTCTGTCTGCCAAGTTTTTGGTATCCATGCACTTTCCCCCGCAGCGAACTTTATTAGGCCAAGCAGGTCCTCTTCAATCTCAATGCACTCTGAATATCTCTGAGAATATACAGTACGCTTCTTTCTTCTAATTCAGTTTCCTTTTCCGCCATACACCATGTCCTCAAATCCAGCCAAACAATATGCTGATATCATGGGATATCAACCTGATGGAAACTTCCTCTATAAACCTCAAGACGCCCATGATTTACCCCTCGGATCAGTCGGATATTTCGACAGAAATGAAGACTGGGTCCAACTGGCCAATCTGATGGAAGAAGGAAATCCAGAATCAAACGGATACGGGCCGTTCCACCACACCCTACAAGTGGGTGAAGTGAAGGAGTGTTTCTGGGACAAGCAATCTGGCGATAGTGAGGTGGGACAGAGCTCCCGGGCCACTGTCGAAGCTTCTGGCGCCATGGCTGCTGCTCCGGTTGACGTGTCGGCCCAGATGAAGCGCAACAGTTCGTCGACTGGCAGTGCAGCCCTCATTACCAACTCAGTGGTGCGCAAACACAAACTCAAGAATCCCTTCAAGCATGAAATAATGGATTGGGTGGACGAGAACGCGGCAGAGATCATCAAGCCCCGGCGTCGCCGTCACGAGATCAAAAATCGTGGGCTGTTCGTTATTATGGCTGTTTGGGTCACCGATGAGTGTGCGATCAAGCTCACTACTGAGAAAAACCGCGATGTTGATTTTTCACTGGACTTGGGAGCTACAGGAATCGGTAAGGTAGGCGGCGGCATTGGAGCTTATGACAAGCTTAGTAGAGAAAACTGGGCCACATACCCCCCAAACAAGGTAATTGCAGACGGTTTCCCCTTCGAAACTCGCTATTAGGACTGGGAGCGGATTGTTAATATGCTGTAGACCAAGAATGGCTACGTCGTCTCGTTTGCAGGCGTGGAGTACTCTCTCAAGTGGCTCGCTAAGAAGCGAAGTGTGGTATGTGTCTTTTTCCTATGAGGTGCTTGCTATGAGTATCAACTGACCAAACCACTTTAGCCTGTCGACGTAGAAAGAGAGACAATTAGTTTACCGGTTCCAAAACCCGGGCCGATTGACGGTACACCTGAGGGACAAGAGACGTCAGAGTCTGAAGCCGATAGCGAGGGAGAGGATGTAGGAGAAAGCGTGTGTAATGCGTTTGGGATGGATGATAGTGATGACGAGGAGTATGCACAGCAGCAAAAAGAGGCTAGGAAAGTGGTGATGGAAAAGCTTGTGCAAATTAGGCAGATTGAAAACGAAGAGCAGAGAAAAGAGGAGTTGACGAAGTTGGTGCAGGAAGACCTGCAGGCTCGGGCTATCATCGGGAAGTGGCTTCAGGAACGGGAGGCTCAGGATTAAACTAGAACTACAAAGTGTGTCCATATCCTCGATCTATGAGTCTTTATGGGTTGGTCGTCTGGACGCATTCGTTAGAGGGAAGACTGATCGAGTTTGTAATGTGAACATCTGTTGCATATCATACTATACAGGAGGTAGCAATTAGGTCACTGAAAAAGCGTTCTTCGCCTTAAGTGATACGCATAGGAAATCGGGATCTAGATCGGCCAAAAACAGGTCTTAATGATTCATCTTTCGAAGCTGTACATAGCTTAAGGAGTTTAGGTCCACCGTCAATATTATACGTTAAAATTCCGTCGATACAATTGTCGATGGCGAGATGATTCCTAAAACAGTACGAGCTTTTCTTGTAACCACCAAGGAAAATGCAATATATAAGATACGTTATAGAAGTCTATGCATCTGTGGTAAACTGATTGCGTCTCTAGTACAGTTAAAACAATAGGTCTACGAACCGTCGGTATTCTTTGTTCCTTCCCTCGCATAACTTGGTATGTTCTTCATTGAATCGTGCAAGGTGTCGGCGCCTGAGGCCACGACTATGAGTTAAAGCTGCTAGGGCCTACCGTAGCAGCTCACCACATGAATTACTGTTGCAATTGTCAGCTATCTTACTAAAACCCTGAAAACTAAGTAGACGACTGACCTCGGTGTGCAGCGTGATTGACGTCCTGAATGCTCCTTCAGCCTGAGCCACGGCCCTTTTGGTTGCATCGATAATCTCAGCTGGCCCACATGCACCGATACCCAGTCTTTCTTCTAAGCCAAACATTAAAATGTAGTCTGTAATGTGAAGAGATATATCTAGCCGCCCTTGTTGCATTTAAGACTCATTGGCTATTAGCCTAGGCGCTGATGTCTTTGAAAGACTCTTTTCAGGATCGGAAATGGCCACTGCGGCTGATGGGGGCTCATTTGGAGCATCATTTGGGGTGTGGCGTCGCCGGACGAAATTCCCTCCCTCGTAACATAGATGAATACGTTGATGTTGGAGCTCTCTCGAAGTTGCGTGAGCTCTATCTCAAACCAGTTCAATGCTTCTACTTGAAGTTAGCTCTGATTGTTATGACAAAACATCGAATGAGATAATGTACTTACCCTGATGTTTGACGGCCCAGATAAAGTCGATGGTCTTTGAGGTATTAGCAGCAGCAGCCTGCTGAAGTACACTGAGTGCAATAGCAAATGTAAAGCTGGCTCCGCTGCCGCCCGCGAGCAGAATAATTCTATCAAAGGCAATGAAATTAGGCACCTGCCCGTATCCACCATCAATAGAGCATCGAAGTGCTCGTTCCGGCTCTTTCCAAGCAAGACCATAGAGCTCACGGGCAAAGCCATCATAAACACGAATCAAGAATTCAGTCGGGTCCGTAGAAACCATCGTAAATGGATGAATTTCAAAAAGACGCACGGAGGGGATCCACAGAAAGGAATAAGATCCGGGTTTGCAGGGGCTATTTTGCATGAGCTTTACGCGAAGTGCGTTATCCGGCATAGCTGTGACCATGGTATGGTTACCCAAAGAGTATCAACAGATCTTGGCAGTGCGGACCAGTCTATCCAAGAACCACATGCAAGCTGTAAATATAACAATGACGAGTGATGTGGTGGAGATCTTTGGACGGTGCATTCCAACTGTGATCATGATGAGCACGAGCATAATGAGGTGAATCATGTAGAACACTATCCAGAAGAGTTAGGCTTAGAATTGGAATACGCAGAGGGCTGATGGAAAGGGATTACCTTCGTATGACTTCCGGACAAACTAGTCTATAGTGGAAATGCCTATGATTACCATGGCTAGTCCCGCAATGGCACCGGCAAAGTTAGCGACTTCCTGGTAGATATTAGCTTGGAGAGTTGAAACGACTCGAGACGGTGAATACCAGCCAAGACATTTCCCGACCTATGACTGAGGTTAGCTCCATAAGCACGAAAAACCGGGATGAAGGCAACGAACATAGTTAAGATTGCCCAAGTCCACTTTCGTCAGGATCAGGATCAGGTTGATTGCCCAGTAAACAGCATAAAGTAACCATCGACCAACATGGAGGCCGAGTATGGTGCTGTCGAGACTGTTCCTCGTAGTTCTATAGATTGTCAATGACTAGGCATACACTAGGTGAGCAATAAACGAACCGATGTATGTGAGTTAAGCACTGTATCAAATTGCCTGGCTTCTTGGAGCCATACTTGAAATGCAGAACTCTTAGCCAGTGATGGACGATGAAGATAACCATCATGGCTCCAATTGAAATTGCAAAGTACTTGTTACTCCAGACATTGTTCCTCTGGCGGTCAGCTTTCGACTCCATGTCTTCAGGTCAACGTTAAAATCACAGTGAAAGCGAGAAATCTGTTGACAAAGGAGTCCAAAGAAACAATATGATGAACAATAAGGAATCAAGATTGGAGTCTGCGCAAAGCTTCGCCGAAAAAGTACCAAATAAATACTTGGTAGGATGAAAATTCTTGCCCCGAAATAGCAAGATACAGCATAGTGGGATTCCGAAAACATTCTCTTCCTACTGTTGAGTACTCCACCAGGTATTCTCTCGTAGCCTACTCCGTATGGAAGAGGAATCCTTGGCGCCACGCCGGCGGGATGTATTGTCCCTACGATATCAGATGCATCAGATAATACTAGGTAGCGTCTCGGTTCCTTTACTACTTCAAGGTAAGACGGCCGATGGTTCAGTGTTTTCCGAATTCCGAACAATCTGCAGAGCCAGAAGGGGCCGTAACAAAACCATTCACTACGAAACGGTGAGCCCAAATGCTCAAATAAACCAAGTAATTTTCCATTAATTAATACTACGCATGATTTCTACGCTTCGGTTCAGATTTTCAGGCTGAAATTTTCAGGTGAACAGTATCCACAAACCACACCCAGACATATGACAAACCTGCCTTGTACTCCGCATAGACCGGTCCTTTGAATCGGTTAATAGAGAGCGTCTCGGAAAGTCAGATGAAAATCCTTCGTCGAATCCGGCTAGATGATCGTGCCGTTATCGTACGAAGCACGAAGGGCGTTGGAGCCAGGGAGCGAAATTGACCGTCACGGCGTTCGAATGTAACCCATCTGGACAATTCTCCACTAGGTACTGAGCAACTCACGTATCCATCACACGCCAAACACCCTTACCCTATCTAACCATCATGTATGTACCATAACAGTACAGCATGCTGCTCGTTAGAAAGGAGAATCCATGCCTACTAGTGCTTCGCCACTACGGCCGAGGACTATCTGGTACCCCTTCGGAGAAACTACTTAGGGCGTAATGCATATCTGAATGTTGCATTGACAGAGACTTCCTTGATGTTGAGTAGTTTGTGCGAGAACTGGTTGGGATTCTCCCGCATGGATGCACAATGTCCAATGAGCGAATAGTTATATCACGATCCTCCTCAAGTACCGGAACCGTAACCTGTAAACAGGACCCGCATCAGTCATTTCCTTGTCCGATGTATGTCCCTGTTTAACGAGACCCATCCAAGCTGGGAGTTTTATGGGACTCATGGAAGCCCATGTACTTGTTCTCGTTTGTTGACTTACTTATATCCGTTTATATACGCCGCTACCTTTCTCTGAGCTTGCCTCCCGCGTTTCTTATCTCATTTTCACCACTGTTTGCTTGTGGGATGGATCTTGGTTGAGACAATAAGGCGTAAACCATAAAACTTACGTACTTTTAATGGGCCTCCCGGCCATCAAGGGTCATCCAGCCGCCCTTGCAGAGTTGATATACTTGCTTAAGCGTAATTAGTGAATACCTATTACGGTACTCATTGGGGATAGAACTTATATAAACATTAAGTAATGCTACTTGCAGTTTCTTTTACATAATACACTGGAGCTAGTTTATATTCTCTAGCCTACATATTCCGAATTTTACGAATTTACTATGCAGCCATTCGCAGTAGTCCGAAAGCCATTAATCCGTATTCATATTACTTATACTTATAAGTTAATTCTGATTGTTGCAACTCGGAAAGTTCGGAATCTGCAGGCCAGAGGTTGTGCGCCTCTGAGGACAACCAAGAGCCAAAATGCCCAGCTATTAGCAAATACCTAGGATGTAGGACCACTGCTTTATGCTGTTCTTACATCTATATACTCTATTTAGAAATAGATAGGAATAGAGGGGAGCATGATGTAGTGCAAGAGACCAGACACCTAAATTGGGAAAACATTCTTCCTCGGCTATTTTAAGATCAGAACAGAATGCTTCAATACCATCTATAGTTGTCGGTTGACTTGGTCATTGCCCTAAGCAGATATCCTATCGATTCAACTGAATGTAGGTATATGCTCGGTGGGTA